CACTGCTTGTGAAAAGCGTGATGCCAGTAGGAGTAGTTTGGAAAGCCAAGTGGGAAACATGAAGATGTATTTTTATGATGTGCATCACTTTTCTCCACCTTTCGCCCTCATCCTTATTACCAGAACAGCTCTGACGTTATTGTCATATTCCAGTATTTGATCTGATAATACAAGATATTTTAGCTTTCCAGAGAAATGGAAGAAGAGTTTGACTGGGGAGCTCTCCCTGTTGCAAAGATGATCTATTGTAAAATCAATAATCCATTGCCTCTTTAAATCAACACGTAAGAAGGTTTCTAAATCTCTCAGTTCTCAAAAAACACCAACCCAAACCTCCTGCAGTTTTCAGTTTGACCAACTTTTTTTCCTGTAATCGTCAGGAAATAAGCTCCGCTCTGTGACCCCACACAACTGGCTGGGCTTCTCTTTCCCCATCCCCACTCACTCAAAAGGTATGCCTTGCTCTAGTGTCAACAGCTTATGTCCTTACATAAAACATGAGACTAATTACTAGCCTACATTGGCTGAACGTGTAATAGGGAGAGGGGTAAGAGAGGAATGCAGCAGCTGGGATGCTGCAGACCTGAAAATACTGACTGGCTGGCACAGCCAGGGAGAAGCCATGCATAAGTAAAAGTACTCGCCACTCATAATTTACCGAACCTGCAAAGATACAGGCTGAAGCTTAGCTATTCAATTGTTTTTAGCATGATGTTTTGAGTCATAATTTAAGAACCAGTGCATAAAATACTGAGAATTGAAAATATAGTCTTAAAATGCATTTTCACTAGTCATGTAAGTAACATAGAAAACATACGAATATGTAACAACATGTAAGAAAACCTTCTCTATGTAAAAGAGATGGAAAATGAAAAAGTAAAGTTTCCCTTACAAAATTCTATTTATTCCAGCAAAATAAGCCTGCTTCACTCACACGTTCTTAGAACATATCCTGAAGCCTCAGTTCACCTGCTTCTGTTCTTATTTTTTCAACAATCCTGTACATGATGTGTAATTTTAATGAGGATGGCACAAGCCAAAGTCAACACAAGCTGAGCTACTCCCAGGGAGTAAATGAAGAGCTATGGTACAAATCTCCTATTTCCATGATAATTCCTAGTAATGAAAATGGGAAAAGGAATTAATTACATAAACCGTAAGCAAGGAGAAAGGTCTCTTATTAGTGTGCATTTTTAAAGAACAGTAGGTATTTAATACTCCAAAGTGTCTGATTTCTTTTTTTTTGACATTTCATTGCAGTTCTGAGCTTTTCCACATTAAATAAGCAGCCAAAATGCCTTCTAGTCTCTCTCTCTCAAAAGGCAGAAGTTCAAACTTTCACAAGTTAAAAAATATCTTTGAGCAGAAAGTTTTCTTAATTGAAAATCTTCATAACGCACTCCTAGTGGAAGGTGGCATGTCTCTTCAATTCCTCAGTGATTTCTTATTTTCTTCTCTTAGAACAGTTTCTTCTTTGCAAAATCTATGGCACTGCTTATTGACTTGTTTGATCTAAAAACCGTCAAAACCAATGGACACAGCAGGTTTTAGATCTGGCCCTATGAACAGGTTAAAAAGGATTTTTTGAGGCAGAAGTGCAAGACTAGGTTTTCAGAGATGGGTCCCAAAGACACCTTTTTTTCTGGCACCTTCTATGATACAGAAGACTAGGACACCTGATACAGCGTTGTCACCTGAAGAAAAGTCAGTTGCTATTCTGATACTTAGTAGGCTGCGTTAGAACTCATCCATTAAAAATATTTGGACCAAATCAGTAGCAATTCCTTTAAACATCCCACGTATTCTGGATCATTCTAGATAAACTGGGTTCAAGATACCTGGTGCTCAAGAAGTCTGAAAGCAGGTGTGGTGAAGCCTCAGGTCTGGCTGGCATGCTAGAGATGGGTGGGTAGAGCCTCTCATCATTTGGGTTTGAAACAAGCATTTAATCCAGCTCCTGACCCCATAGCATTAGGGAAATCCAGGCAGGTAATGTCTTAAACCTCATCAGTGGAGCAAACAACATGTTTGCTTGAAAGAGTTACTGTGGAGCTGCAGAACTACTGTGTGTGCCTGAATATGTCTGCCTAAGGAACTCACTCCTCATCTGAGAAGTTCAAGGAGTAACAAATAAAACATGCAGTTTCTTTACATTGACTATGCACCTGTGCTTCAGCGCAAACACTTCTTACTATTTCAGCTTTCAGTGATTTTCATTCTCTTCTCTTCTCTCATTCTCTTCAACACTTTTTTATGCACAACTGTTTTTTCTTTCTGGAGGGTGACCTTAATTTACAAACCTTTCTTGTAAGATAAGGAATGACGATAAGTAAACAGATTATTAAACCCCTCTTCATACACACCCTCAGTTCATTAAAAGCTCTGGTACTTTCCCCTCACTCAAAGGCTTTAGAGGTATTTAAACTCCAACAAGGTTTCACATTTTAACAGTTATACTTCATGAACGTACCATTCCTTTAAAAAAAAACAGAACCGAGTAATAGGGAGAGACTTCAACATTAGTATATTATTCACTGACTTGAAATTAATGTGCTTTCTTTTGGACACAAAGATTTATCTCACAATAGTAAGACTGAATTTTTTTTTTCTTTCCATAAATCACGGGGCAAAGAGGAAGATGACTTCTCCTTTTTGTAAGTGACTGAGAAACACACCTCCCGGATTTTAAAACTGTAGATACTTGTTTTGGTAAGGCCACTGTGATCTTACTCTGTAAACAGTACGTCACACAGAATTAAAAACCTATGCGTGAGGTTTCCATGTGCCTAGATATCTCTCTACCTTTATGTCCACAAGCACATATATTACACAGATATGCTGATGATCATTCTAAAGATGCAATCAGTGGAACTGATGTTATTCTGCACCATATTGTCGCTTTACTAAGCATGGGTTCTATCTGGCTAAATATGGACATCTACAGCTGACCAATTCCTTTGCAACCAATGAAAAGCTGGACAACGGAGTTAACGGTGTAGGTCATTTCATCCAAAGCAGATGCTTGCATCTGATCAGACAAAGGGGTCTGATCTCCCCATATTAGATTTCTAGTGACTACAACTGGAACCCAGATGGCAAGCTAAGGTATTTGTACCTACACTGCAGATGCCTGAAAATTAGGTGAAGTAAATTCCATCCCAAGAAACCATCCTGCAGCGGTAACCTAATTCAAATTGTGCACATGCTCTGTATTCTACTAACTTCAAAAAACTTCCTATTTTACAAAAATCTTAAATTCTGAGAAAGGAATTAGCATTCACTGGAAGCCATAACATGGAAGCTAATGTCTGAATAAATCTGTAGCCATCAGTGGGAAGATACAGCAGTAGTGTGAAGAAAAAGAGCGAAAATACCAAAATCCAGTCCTGCAGATTTTCACTGGTGATTCAGCAAAGTATTTCAGCACATGCTTCACTGTTTTCCTACCCTGGGAGCACGGGCATTAATCCCACGCCTCACCAGGCACTGGAGTTACGCAACTATTTAATTGAAACAAGACTGTATCTTCAGGGCTTACTCACCACTGAAGCCCCACTTGTGCAACGGCTCCTACAGTCACTGATCCCCTGCAGCTGTGTGAATTGTCTGCGGCTATCATTACTTTGCAGAAGCTGATCCCAGCATATTTCACTGACTACAGGCCTGAGCCAACAAGGTTTTGCAGTATCGCACCCTACAAAATCCGTGGTGATTTCAGAAAAAAAAAAAGGCCCTGAAGAAAAGCCCTCAAAAAAAAAAAAAGAAAAAGGTTTAGGTAGGTTTTAGGAATCTGTGTCCACAGCTACAATCCAAAAGAACCCAGGGCAGTGAGACAGGTCTAAATTTCTTTGGATCTTCTTTTTGCCACCTAAGTTGCTCTTGAGTTCAAATGTTCTTCAACCCATCCACGGATGGGTGCACAATATTACCTATGTCAAAAAAACCCCACACAAGATGCACAAAAGTAATGTTTGACTGATCTCTCCCTGAGGAGAGCTAGTCTCTGATATCTTCCTAAACTTCCTTAAAATCACAAATTGTTTCTTGATATAGATATTGTGGGGCTTTTTCCTGGTACCCCAGATCTTGAGGATAGGGAAGGGAGCAGTCTAGAGACTGTTATGCAGGGTACTGGAGCATAGATGTTTCAGTTCTTCCAGACAGAAAGGAGAATTTAGATGTACAACTTCCTCAACCATCAGGAATCAACAGACTTTTGTAAGAGGTGGATGTCACCAGTTCCTCTTCATTGTGTAGCTATGTTTAAAACAAAGAGCAATTCTTGTTTTGTTGCTTCTCAGAACATATCCCCTCAAAAATATTTTGGGAAATGTTTTTTAGGTAGACAAGACCTCATCCTCTAGTAATAAGTTGTGTAGACGAGTTTCAAAGAGGAAAAGAAGTTCAGACCTATCTTCTCAGATTTTCTAATAGGTTAGCAGCAGCTTGCCGGAATGCTTGGAGTATTGTTTTCTTGACCTCTCTGAATGGTATGGAATACCTACACAACTGTCTATTTTTCTATTTTTCTTTTCATTATTTACTTATCCCAGCCAGGGAGAGGGGAGGGCACATAAGTAACATTTACTGATTTTTACTGATTGTAGTCCATGAGTCAAACCAAGCAGATGGCAGCATGGACAAAAACAAGGCAGAAAAGGAAGAAGCTTTGCTCTGGTAAGCTCTGAGGCGAAATGCCTTATTAATGTTGATTATTAATGAATAATCAACAAAACTTACAGTAAACAGGCTTAGCATAGTCTGGGGGGAAAAAGGGTTGAAAGTAAAGAGTAATCCTGAAAGCATTAGCATATGTATTGTGAACAAGTGAGTAGTCTTTCCAAAAGAGATAGTTTTGACTTGTGTAAAAAGACAAAAATAAGCATCTCCACTGGGGGGTAACTTGCTAGATAAAAGGACACTTAAAGCTTATAGAAGCTTATAGAAGAAGTCTGATATGGAATTTATATAAGATAAGCTAAGTAAGTAACTGTACTTACTGTGTAAAGCTCGTTAAGAACTTTCATTAAGTCTTCATGAAGCTGAAACGCAATCTCTTTGCTCTGTAATTAAAAAGAAATCATTAGAAAAAGGCATGCAAAAACAACATACATTTGCCTCTTGATATTCATACTCATCGTTCAACCTAGATATGAATACAATATTGCTCGCAAAGACACTGTTCTGACAGAATTATATTGCACTAAAAATAATGATTCAGGGATGCAGAAGTAGACAGACAACATCTGGACAGAAGACTTCTAAAAGGAAACCCAGAAGTAATTTGAGAGATTTTCCCATGAAGCATCAGGAAATTAGGTGCCAACAGAAAGGGCGACGTTCAGGATTAATGTTATAAGCCTTTTTAATGGAACAAACTGTGTACTGTTTTACAACTGCTATGATATATACAAAACCTAAACCACATGGAATGCGATATTCTAGAGGGACATCCCGCCCAATTTTACATCTAGAATAGTCTTTGTTTCTCAGCACATGCAACTATCTAAATATTTATGCAAGAAATAATTGTGTCTCCTTTTTGAAACAGATACCCAACTGCATAATATTCCACAGAGTGGGCTGCTGAAACAGCTTTGTTTAGCTTTTCTGGACTGTGTCTTTACTTTCATTCTGACCCAGAAAAAAGAAATGCTTAGCAGTAGTTATCAAAGAAAGCAAGTATGTCAAAATAAGAGTATTTAATTGGAGTCTCATTCACATATATTCCTTTGTTAGCTGCCCATAGCAGTTCAATCAGATGAAAATTGTGGCAACTGTGCAAGAGTTGAAGGTGTTTGTACCACAGCCTTTGGAAAACAGCTATAGAACAGAGCTATGGGACTTGGCAAACAGCCTGGATACATTTCTTCTGCGATGCTCAGCATTGTAACATCCATGCTGGAAATGTCAGGGTTTTTTTCTGTGAATAAATTGATAATTAGCCTGGCTTCTAAAAACTCCAACTTCGTGATAGATAATGGCCTTAGCAATAAGAAGTACTTTGTATTTGTACAGAAGCCAAAGGAAAATCCTCAGGGACAACTCATCTCCAAAGCTGCTAACACATACTTGGCCATCACTAAAACACCTGCAGGAATAATGGTTTCTGAATGAGAATTTCCAGTGCAACGCCCACGTACGAGGAGGAACCATGCCACACATCCCACCCACGGCGTCTTCTAGGAGGATGAAATAGACACATAGAGTAGCTGGAACAGAAAATTTTGAATTTTTTCTCCTATTCCTACTGTCATACTCCTAACTCTAGGCAGTATTTTAAGGAATGTGCCATATCACTTATCACTATTCACTCCAATCCTTATATGCAAGATGATTTTTAACCAACAAGAAGCTAGAAGTATATATTAAAAAATACTTTAGTGAAATTCTTGTATTCCCAAGGGCATTAGCTGTAGTAGCTACAGCACAGTGAGCAGATGCTCGGCAGCTGAGTTACACAGAACTACTATGAAACTTTCCTTATTGCTTATACTTTTCAAAGTCTGGTGTTTTTCATGAGGTATGCTCTACTACTGAAGTATCTAGAACATATGGCTCACTACTTCCATTTCTTTGCAAATATCAGATTATTCTCATCTAATACGAAGGACAAAAATTCATATGCCTAACAGCGCACAGAGTGCTTGCAAAGAATTGGAA